ACTTTGATGCTGTTGTTGAAACACCAATCAAATCGTGAAACACATCATTATTTTCGTGTCAATCACAATGTGTTAAATGATGTTATGATTTCCACGGCAAATGAAGTGACGAAAATAACCTTTTGCCTTTTTTTAATGTTTATTTTTTCTATATAGTTTTCGGCCAACAATTTTATTCTCTGAATTTTTTAACGATGACTCATTCTGTCTGTTTCCCACGGGGAAATAAGTGTTGGTGATGGCATTATTCGGGTGGCACAGTGGATTGGGAAGAAGCACTTCTCGTGGAGACCTGGAATTGTCAATGCTTTCTATAAACCAAGGCCACATGCTACAGTGAAGATCCTTCTAAATGTGGACAGACCTCTCACCAACCCTTATTAGGGCATCTGTTTCTTTACTTGCAAATCAATTTTTTAAAAAGATTATGGCCCATATTTTTTCTTATAACCTAAAGAAGAAAAGAAACCACCAACTTTTTCATAAAGACAACAACTTAGGTTCATTAGGATCCTTTTAACCTGCATCCGTCCGGATTATCTGTACACATTTCCAGCATAATTACGACAGCTGTATTGTTCAACGTCGCCGAATTTGCACACGCTGACCGAAATTAAACCCCACGATCACTATTTGTTAGAAGTTCTAAAGTAAATGACATCATGTACAGATTCCAAGGATCTTACCTACTGAGCTATAACTCATCCTCTAATTGAGTTGTACCAAGCAGCCTGGTTCCATTGCCGAATCCAGCTCCCACCCTCTTCCATTGCCGAGACCATCGTCCGTTTCAGCCCATATACCTACAGTAAACAATATGCTCTACCGCCAGCTCTGTTATGACAATTCCTCTATTTATTATTGTATACTGTCATAATGAGCTGTGAATTAATGAGATCTAGTTGATTAATTTGGGGGACTTGAACCCGACCATGAATCACTCTCTGTTTTTAAATATAACATTACAAAATCTATCAGTTTTCAAGCCACAGATAAATTACGAACAGCTTCGGAAATCAGTGATACCGTTTTACAGATTGGCGTAGGGTATGTATTATTCAAGAATTATCCCTTAATCCTCTTATCTGCTCCTCCTTTTGAGAGATACTCATGTGTTATTTCTCTAATTATATCCTCCATTCATTTATTAATCTATCTTTCTTTCATTTCTAGGCTATCTTTAATAATATCTTTAGTCAGTTTCCTAACCGGATTTTTGATGTAAAAACTGCGACATTTTGGTTTGACCTGGTGAACTTTGGCGTGTTTTATAATGCGTTCGGAAGGAAAATCAAACTTGGATTTTACCCCAGTTTCAATATGATGAATTTGATATTTTTGAATTCTCCTTGCAGTTCATATTTTCTGAAAATGAAAATTTTCCAATAACAATTCAAGTACCGGATTAAGAAGAAAAAAAGATTCAAATTGGGGGATTATGACAAAGTAAGACAAAGTGGTTGATTTCATCATTTCAATACATATTGCAACATATGAGGAATACGGAGTCTTGTCGAAACGTTGTGTAACACTTTAACTTCTTGGTGAACTTCGTGTGGAAATTCTGAAGCATTTGTATAGGACTGCTTAATATTTGTGAAAACGCTTTGTGTTTAATTGCTACTTATAACTAGTAACATTGTACCGAAACGTTGGAACGCTCTCCAAGTGAAATCTTGTCGAAAAGGTTGTGTGAAAATTAAAGATTATTAGTGGAAGTAATCAATAAGATTTTAATATTCTTTTGCAATCGTTGATTTTACCACCCGCTGTGTTGTGATATTTTATGTGTGACTTTTTGAGACAATTTTACAACGAATGTGCCGTTTTAGTGAATTCTTTTAAAATCTTCACGAAAGCCTTCGCAAAGACGCTGAAGTGTTGTATAAGATATTGATTTTTCATTTGATAATACCATTGGATACATTTTGATCATAACCCACGCTTTGAGAGGACAGTTCGTTCCCCCAAGGATTGTTGAAGGAACTCGCCTTTGAAAAAATGGACGACAACGATTGCTGGAATCATACTGGTTACACCAAACCAGACAAACAAAAAATTGTGTTAGACATAAATAGTGGAGATGAGAATGACACGACGACTTACCTACCAACTTTACCAGTTCCAGAGCAGCCCGATGTGTCAGACTTTTTACGGGAACTAAGTGACGCCCAGGCGTACGAATTCCGGGCAGTGATCAGTGTGATAGGAATTCTCATGATCATAGGAACAGTGGGAAATTCGTTAGTTCTGTACGTCCATATTCTAAAGTTTAAACCAAGTTCCACACGGACCTTTGTTATTTCGCTGGCGGTTTTTGATTTACTCTGTTGCCTTATAGCCATGCCAGGCGAAATTCTTGACATACGTTTTACGTACACGTACACCTTTTCAGCTAGCTGTAAAATCATGCGTTTCATATCTAGTTTTGTAGCTATAGGGTCTGGGATTACGCTGATGGCCGTAAGCTATGATCGGTTTCGACGCATATGTCATCCCTTAAAACGGCAAATAGGACACACACAAGCGTGGTACGCGGTCTTTTTCGCCGTTCTCGGCTCGCTTTTTTGCAGTTGGCCACTGTTGGTCATAAGCGATCCCAAAACGGTTGAAACTGGTTTTATGAACATCACCGGTCTGGAATGCTCCGTTTCGGACAGGTTCAACAAAACCAAAATTCCTCTTATATACACTGTATTCCTGTTCATAGTTTTTATGTCGGCGTTCGTGTCAATGATAACCGCTTACGGCATGATTGGCCGCGCTATATTAAGGCAAAACAGTTTCCGGAAGCGAATGATGTCGGCACGTTCACGTAACGAAACGGTAACTAGTATTTTATCATCATCGCCAGAAGCTAACGGCACTCGAGTTCGCAAGATATCTACGACATCCGTCAATAAAAATTTTGTCGGAGACACGGGTAATCAAGGTTCGGGAGACAGCGATTCCGATGGCAATACAGCTATGTCTGTTGAGACAAGACCATTGCCATTAAACAGGAAGGTGTCATCAGTATCGACCAAACGGATCACTAGGTCTCCTGACGATGCTCGGCTCCGGAAAACAACCCTAATGCTGTTCATCATATCCGTGACGTTTCTGGTCAGCTTTCTCCCGCATCTGATACTTAAGGCCATACAAGCTTTGGACAAGAGCTTCCTCGACGGCCAGAGTTCGTTGATAAAGATACTGTATAATTTATCAGTTAGAAGTTTCCTCATCAACTCCGTCTCCAATGCTTTTATTTACGGCTTCTGTAGTCCACGATTCCGTCAAGAATGTAAGAACATCTTCAAACGAATGGCTAGGAAGAGATCGTTCTCTTTGAATTCTAATAGCTTTAATTATGCTTGAAATTCCCAAACCAGCTACTGACTGTCATATTTTGCTTCTAGCAGAACCTGCTTTGGAAAAGCTCATCGCGATGCATCTCATCACTTGTATTGTATATAATTCTGTTTTGCTTTCCATGTTTTGTGATCATTTCAATAAACTTTGATACGGTTCCTTTTCTATCATGATTTCTCAAACCAATCCTCTGCTAGTCCAACGAGACTAATTCTTTGTTACAGGGAGAGCCTGCACAGAACTTGCCGTCTTTTGCCCAATTGCAATACTCTATCCACGTCTTTAGCACTCGGTCAGCGGAGATACAGATAAAAGGCAACCCCTATCCCATTACACATCTACCAGAGCTCACTGGGTCGGAGAAAAACCTGACCGGTAGAATCTGGAAGCAAATATATTTCAAGGATAATGTCGACCGAGCTTCGACGACTGAAAAATTGGAGTTGCCACCTGAACGGTCGGTATCTGCTATCATCTACCATATGGAAGGGAAGCAATCTTAAACAATATTCAACTCCACAACAACTTCAAGGGAGGCAACTCTTCACCATCTTTCCATTATAACGACAATGATTTCAATGTGTTCATTGAAGGTTTTGATTCAACGAGAACGCCCAAAGTTATTGGTACACTACTTGAAGTCAATTTTCCATTTCCGGACGATTTCATCGATTGACTGAATACTGGCGTTTCTGAATACAATTATGCATATTAATTGTTGTGAGATTGGTCCCATTATGTCTATACCCATTGGTAGGCCTTCCCCCGATTGCGAGACATTAGGCATGTTCCGCTGTGATCTCGGCGCGACCAGGGAGTGTATCGCGGCATTTTGTCCAGTATACTAGCTCACTTATATATGAATGTAATGATATGAATATAATTATATATATTAAGTGTAAATTTAGAGGGCTACACCCCTTGGTATTTAATATATAGACCTAATGCGGAAGTGATATTATAAAGGCCTCATATTAAGGATTGGGGTGAATCATATTAAAGGGCCAAGCTTGGTTAAGATAAGATGCTGATATCGATGTCTTATATGACGGATTGTGAGTCACCCGAATTTTCCTACACTTAATGACATACCAGTTGATAAGGAAATAGGACATACGGCCATTGTAAAGGTATGAGAATATTCTGCTCTACTTTATTGTTGTTACCTTCTCAAGAATGACTTAACGTAGCACGATATATATCTGTATATGATTATGCACATGACTGCTAGAGTAAATGATACAACTTTTGCTGGTACATTTACACCGTACGACCACAACTTCATTGTGAAAAATATACCGTAAGAGAATACGTAGAAAAGGCCTATGTAATAGCACGACGAATATTAGGCTATTTGATAATTCTCAGTAAATACAGGTGTGTTTAAGAAATATGTGACCATTCAAAACACGTGTATTTATTCAAAGATAATTCAAATATAAATAAAGTATGTCTTAAGTATGTCTGTATATCTGAAGATAAACTAAGTAAACTCTTAATAATATTGCATATGCAGCGCTGATCACGTCTGAACTCTGTGTAAATAGCCCCATCTCGCCCTAAAATTATTATATGTACCTTGATTTGTAAGCATTTATGCATTCGTTTCATGAGTTTGTTTCATTCATTCCGTCTTGTTCTCACATTAATATTTTCATTCATTCATTCATTCATATTTGCTTTCCCATATCACTAAAGTAATTTTAAATATATTTGATAAATTAGACAGGGCTAATTAAGGAGCAATTATTAAATAATAACTAATTATAACAGCACGATATTTTATCCTAATTATGGTCGAGAGTTTTCGAAAGGTCATTCATTCGTTCTGCACTTTGGTTGTAATACCGAAAATGATTAAGAGTAAATAAAAATCATTTATTTTTCTGTTCCAGGTATTCGTACGTGCATCCATCGTTATTTTGTTAAAAATAAAAGAATGCATTGAAGAATATTCGCTTGGTTTAATTGTTACCTCATTTGGCTTGTTCGTACGTGCATTCCTTAGCACCTGTTGGCTGGCAATCATTGGCACCAGTTGGTTGGTTCGTACGTGCAATCATCGGCACCAGTTGGTTGATTCGTACGTGCAACCATCGGCACCAGTTGGTTGGTTCATACGTGCAATCATTATATCAGTTGGCTGGTTCGTACGTGCAATCATTATATCTCTTGGTTAGTTCGTACGTGCATTTTTTCACAACAGTTGCTTGGTTCGTACGTGCTTTAATTCACAACAGTTGCTTCGTCGGTACGTCCATTCATTTACAATAGTTGGTTGGTTCGTACGTGCATTCATTATATCTGTTGGTTGGTTCTCGTACGTCCATTCATTTACAATAGTTAGTTGGTTCTCGTACGTGCATTCATTGGCATCATTTGGTTGGTTCGTACGTGCAATCATTGACATCAGTTGGTTGGTTCGTACGTGCAATCATTGGCATCATTTGGTTGGTCCGTACGTGCACTCATTATATCTGTTGGCTGGTTCGTACGTGCAATCATTATATCTGTTGGTTGGTTCGTACGCGCATTTATTCACTACAGTTGCTTCGTTGGTACGTGCATTAATTTACAATAGTTGGCTTGTTCGTACGTGCAATCATTATATCTGTTGCTTGGTTCGTACGTGCATTCATTCACTCACTTAGCTGTGATGGCTCTATTATTATTATCATTTTGATGATCTGATTCGTTCGCTTTGATTCGTTGAATGCCATTTTTATCAACGTAAATAACCATTCATTTAAGTAGTTATAAGACTATAACCAATATAAACAATGTAAAGCCTGCAATAAAATACATGTAATTGAATAGAGTAAATAAAGGGTAGGGTTACATACAGATGATGTCATTGAAGTATTGCATTATTAATTTCACACGGACATCCTTGTACTGTCTCTACCTTTCTGTAAGTTTTATATTTTTCGTTATTTTAGTTCTTATTTTTCTTTCTTATATCATATTTGAGTTAAATAATTTTCGGTTGAAGAATGACCCGCCAAGAAAAGCTACTATAAAACAGATGTTAGATGGCTGGACTTGTGTTGTATAGCTTCTAATTTTAGTTCTAAATCTCTCGTAATAACAAATAACATGTTGGAATTTGAGGCTGGTTTACTGATATACTGGGCTCTTGAATAACAAAATAACATTTTAAGCTTTGCAGACTTCCCTGAATTGTGGACATACCAATTTCCGTCCAAAAACATAACAGATTAAGACGACACATGAATGACTTTCTGGATTTTGGAAGGAATAAGAATCAGTCGGTGGTTGTGGTGCAAACAGAGACAGTAAGTGTCTTGATACACATACAGATAATAAAAAGTCTCTGTTTAATCTTTTTAAAGCCATTTTGTACATATATTCCTTGGCACATACTCTTATTTGTAAACACTCATTTCCCATCACGTTCTGGGAGCAAAATAGTTGGTCCCAATTCCCAGACAATGTATTGCATTACGAATAGGGACAAGCATAAAGGACCGCATTCTCTTCGTTATTAATTTGTCTATAGTGTATTGTATGCTGTTGGTACAATCATGTGTATGTGTGTCCCAGAAGTTTTGCTCTTTATTTCCCCTAACAAATGTATTAATCCAATCTTTTTCTTTGATTTGACTTCAGATTTATGCCGCCGTTTTCATTGGCATTTTCATGTTTCTATCGAAAGGGTATGATGGAAAATCGACTTGTTTATTTTGATTTATTACTGTTTTGAATGTTTTAACTCCATCCATCTTTCACATTTTATTTTTACTCGGCCATATTCAAACTAACAACGATTATAGGCTTTTATTTCAACTTCAAAAACTTTCAATGCCTTTCATAGGTCGCATGTGACGTAGTACGTTCATTTATTGCATTACTTAGTGGTCGTTTGATGATAATTTATAAACGAACAGACCACCAATGAACTGTCCATTAGCAAATGCGTAAAGGATGTAGGATGATTGCAAATGCATTTGATCATTCGACTTGCTTGATTTCAATTCAACATTTTTGATTAATCTCTTTGCACAAAATTTGTTTTGGGAGACAATAGCAATAACTTTCTTCGCCAAAGATTAAGGCAGCTTAAGGAACATATCGCATGGGAGATGCTGTAATTCACTTACCTTCTGCGTCTCCGTGTACACGCTAAAGATACTTTAAACGTGTGATTATATTATGTTTATTTAGCAGTTAATCTATATATTTGTGTGGTCATTACCGATATCACGCCCCACACATAAATACCGACAGGGAGTAGGTCAGGAATTATTTTCAACAGAATCGTGGCACCGTGCCAGGAACTTTTTTTATGATCTGTTATAAAAGTTAAAAACCATTTGAAAAGAAATTGTTAAGGCGATAGTGGTATTAAACTCAATGTATGATTCAAGGCTTCAGGAATGGATTCGTAAAATTCCTTCGATTCGGTAAGTACATGTACCACTAGTTGGGCAATGTCTGGTTGCTCTTTCCGTATGCACTTGAATGGATCTAGGTGGTTGTTGATTAACTAGTATGTATGCATTCTTTTGTTGATATTTCGATTTGTTAAGTACCCCTCGCCAGGGACATAGTTTTTACACAAAAGATCCTGGACAGGCGTTTTCTAATGGTACCTCTTCGCGTTTGTGTCAAAAGTCTGTGGGTAGGTTCTCTTCGTCTGATAGTGCTATATTATTTAGTTAACGCCTGAAATACCATTTATATTGTCCACAGTCTGAATTACAAAATCTTGGCATCTGTTCAGAATTTTTAATGGAATAGTTGTAAGAGTCCAATAATAAGATTCAATTATCCTAACGTCTTAGCTGTAAAATAAGGCTCCATTTCATCTCATTCTCCTCCTTCCGATTAGCCTACTGGACTCATTTCATGCCCATGGCCAAAATTTTGCCCGCTTGTTGACCTATGGCTTCAAGAGACAAATTTATTTCATCTTGTTATATAATAAATTAATATATCATCAAAATAAGTTGTAATCGTTTATTGGCATTTGAGATGTCTATCTTTAAAGTTGCCAAAAAGATAAATGATTAAAGTAGTCCGACAGCTGTGAGGGTAATTTGTACCAGGTAGACTGTATCTACATCCATATTTATCATTTCTATCTTAAAATAACGTGTTCAAACTGTTTGTTTAATAAATTTCGATCGGATCACCTTTCTGTAGTGTGGTCATGCTGACATTTTTTAGAAGTGGTAGATGGTGGTCTTGTGGAAGATGGGCTGTAACGCAGCCGACCAGAACGTAGGAAGTTGACGTCGTTTGTTTGTGTACGTTAAAACAATAATGGTAGGCCTAGCAGTGGGTTCTCACTCGGTGTTTGAAATAGGTTTGAAACCTTGAATAGGTTTTCTCTATTCATCATTAGTCAAAGCGGATGAAATTTGGTACGGATAAACCGGAAAATCAACGACGTGCAATTTTAGCCAAGGTCGTAAGGAATATATGATCTTACAGTTGACGTTACTTTCATCTTATCAATGGACAGAAATAACTCTGACGTGTGGTAACAGATGTTCCCATATATTTCTTTAGCTCGAGTGTTTACATGGAATATTACAGCAGGCTTATCTTAGTTATCTTAGAGACCAGTTAGTACAGGCTAGTCCAGGAACAATTTTTCTTACAGACGACCTTTAACGACATTATACTTATTCTGTTGCTGGCTTCGTTGACGTGGTGTAGGCCTATAACTCTATTTCATTTCATTTTTTTTATTGGTGGTAACGCTACACTCTACTGGGTTTTTCTAAAAGATTCCCCGCGTTGTACACTACACGACGTTGCCAATCTTCATAAGCCCTATCATATGCAGAAATATGGGATGTAAAACTCCATTTCATTTCATTTTATTATCAGTTGTAACGTTTTGTTTCACTGGCTATATACTCAATTATTATCACACAAACTCGATATTCCCTGATGTTTATTGCTTCATATCTAAGTCAGTCTGTAAATACATTCCTGGCAACCTGCAGGAGTCTTTAAGCAATGATTGATTCAAATGTAATGTACATGCTGTGACGTAATAGAGTACCAACTTGAAAACATTATCTCAGTCTACAGGCGGAAGTTTAGCAACTGTTGCCATGGAGAAATTTAAATCAGAAATTGATGGTGCCGTTTTGGAACACTGGCGATTAATATTGAAATATATGATTACGTTTTCTTTTTTATGCGCGGAAGTTGAATGGAGGAATACATGCTGAGGTTTATTCGACATTGTAGGTAGGAGTTAAAAGTTTTCAGTTATACTTCTAAACAATATAAAAGTGTAAACCGACCTTCTTGGTGTAATTGAAATAGTTATTAGCTGGTAATATCTGTCGAGATAATAGTTATACCTCATTAGTTATATTAACGCCCGATAATTAACTTGCCGCATTAACTCTACATGTTACATTTGCTGTTGTTGAATGTTATCTTTTAGACTACCTTGAGAGTGAATTTCGATTAGAGAAAAAGTTCTTGGAATGAAAAATCTTGTTCTATATTTTGGCGAATGTTTTAGTGTTTCATACAATTTCCAAGAGTATATTTATCATCATCATTATCATCATATACAGTACACCATCATCATCATCACCACCATCATCATCATATACAGTACACCATCATCATCATAATCATCATATACGAGTACATCATCATCATCATCACCACCATCATCATCATATACAAGTACACCATCATCATCATAATCATCATATACAAGTACACCATCATCATCATCACCACCATCATCATCATATACAAGTACATCATCATCATCATCATCACCACCATCGTCATCATATACGAGTACATCATCATCATCATCATATACAAGTACACCATCATCATCATCACCACCATCATCATCATATACAAGTACATCATCATCATCATCATATACAAGTACATCATCATCATCATCATATACAAGTACATCATCATCATAGCCTTTACATGTTCATCATCCTCAAAATTTCTTTGAATGAATAGTCTTGTACAATGTTTTGGAGAAATCTTTAGTGTATCAATATCAAGTAGTATCGTTTTATATACGTTTTACTTCAAGGGAAATAATTCTTTGCAATTTTTACCACTTCGAGCACTTGACCATTGAGACTACTTCTGAAAATCTTTTAAAACTATGGAAATCTACTCTCCATAATAAGTCTTCGGAGTACTGTAATTCGAAGCATTGCACGGAGGTACAATGAGTACCTCTCAATATAAGAGAATATCCCTTGACTCTATCTGTTACTCCTTCCTACTTATATTCCTCATCCACATCTTCTTTCTTCTCATTTCTATACATCTTCTTTTACTACTTGGTACTTCACCACTTCCTAACCTTTCTCTCTTTTTCCCCCCAATCTTTCTCTTTACATGGTCTTCTTACCCATGCTACTCCACCCTGTATCTTCATCAATCATTCTTCGCTCTTTCTCATGTACTCCTCTCCTCCCTGTATCTTCATCAATCCTTCCTCCAAATCACTTAGCTCTTTCTCATGTTGTACTCCTCCCTGTACCTTCGTCAATCCTTCCTCTAATTCTCTTTCTCATGTACTCCTCCCTGTATCTTCCTTCCTCCAATTTTTTTCTTCTGTCTTTTCTACCCGACTTTTGTCCTGTTTACTCCTCTTAAACATCCTCATTATCTACATGTAGAATATAAGAGTTTAGTACAATAAGTCCCTTCATCTGTGTGATAGCTGGTACAATATATTGTGTTATTACTATTACATAAGTAATCGTATCTATTTAATTATTTTTTTTTCAGATCCAGTGCAGAATTAGATAACACTGATCAGGAGGAGTCAATCCATAGCAATTTATGTTTACTAATACAAAATACGTGTTCGAATTCATCGGAAAATAATCGTCAAATTACTCATTTAGTTTTTCCAGTCATCCTTAGCGTTTGGCGTGAAGAGTACGGTTGGTTACACCGAACAGGAAAGGGGAATCAATATATTACATACTTGAGCTAATGTGAAACTGACACAGTTTTGTGTGACCCTGTGTTTTTCAACCGAAAATCACGTTCGTCATCTACGTTGAAATGAAACAGTAAAATTTGATTTTTCAAACTGATGAATATTTCAGAAATCATCTTCAACACGTTAGTCAGAACAGAACATACTTCTCAAAGGATTGAGGTGTGATAACAACGGATTGGAGTGTGATATCAAAGGATTGAGGTGTGATTACAACGGATTGGAGTGTGATTACAACAAATTGGAGTGTGATATCACCGGATTGGAGTGTGATATCAACGGATTGGAGTGTGATATCACCGGATTGGATGTGATATCAACGGATTGGATGTGATAAAGTTATACCCTTAAGGTATCAAAAGATTTTGATGTGATTACGTTATCTCACGCGGTGTGATATTAATGGTCTGAGGTGTGTCGAAGTTACTGTTTGTGATGTTATATCTCAGAACTGTGGTGTAACATAGAACAAAGTACACGAATAGACAAAATCATCGTTTGCGGTTTGATCATACCACACGCAGAATATTATTCGTGTTTGTGAAAAATGGTGTTTGACTGAAAATGTGATCTTCCGAATTTCCATTCGCGTGTGAAAGATTCCATTTTAAGATGGCAGGTATCAATATAACAGGGCTTGAACTGCAGCGTAGAAATATTTCTCAACAACTGCAACAACTGAGTGACGAGCGAGCCCTAGTACTACTTCCGGTTATAATCTTCCTACTTACACTGAGCATCATAGGGCAGATAGGGAATTCTTTAGTCGTCTACATTTTCACCAAGAAGTTTAAAGTTACCACTCAAACCACGTTGTTCGTCGCCTTAGCGTGTTTTGATTTGATCTCATGTTGCGTGGCCATGCCGTTTGAAGTTTTTGATCTGCGCTTCTTCTTCAATTTCAGTTCAGAAATCGCCTGTAAGATTATGAGGTCGCTGGTGACTTTTACGACCTGTGCTTCCAACCAAATCCTGTTATTAATCGCCATAGACAGATTTAGGAAAGTCTGTTGTCCGCTAAAAATGCAAATGACACCGTCTATAGCCCGTAAATTCATCTTCATCTCCGTCATAATCGCAATCTTAATGACTATTCCTGCGTTTTTTCTGTACGGGTTGCGATCAGCGATAACTCCAATTCCTGGTTTGCTTGGATCTGACTGTGCAACTGGTGATGACGTCAAAGATACAATTTATCCAATAGTTTATGAATTGGTGTTGATATTCTTTTTTGTGTTTTTCACCACCTGTTTTGCTGTATTGTACACCTGTATATGGAGAGCGTCCAGAAGACTGGCTTTCGCGCGTAAAAGTTTCCGGTCGGAACAAAGCTGCAGTTTGATCGGCGAAGACACGACGTCCTCATCTATTGATAATAGAAACGACAAGAAACCTAAATGTGACAAACGTGCCCGTTCAAATGTAGTTATTGTCATGAAGACTGATAGTTTTTGTCGGCAAGTGTCCTCCGAACCCGGATCACCGAACATGGCCCGAAAGAAGCCACAAAGAATCACAGCGGCTTCCATCAAGACAAAAGCAACGCTTATTGCCTTTGCAGTTACGATGGTGTTTTTCCTAAGTTTCATCCCACACTTGGGTCTCGCCGCTCTCAAAAACGCCAAGAAAGACTTCGACTATACATTACAAGGGCCACAACTCGTGGCGTTCAACATTTTTCTGAGATTTTATTTTGTGAATTGTGTGGCCAATCCGTTTATATATTCCGCCATGAATCCAATTTTTAGACGCAGATGTATCGATGTTTTCCGATATATCTGCTGCTGCGTTTGTCGTACGTGCAAAATTAAGAAAGACCTACCAGTCCACGTTTGATGTAGAACGATGTGTTAAATTATCTTTAATCTTGTTTCATTTTCGTGGCCACATTTTGATAAAATGCACATATTTGTACTAATGAGTATGGACAATGCCATTCACAAACTGTCTACCGTGAAAGTTCCTCTTGCACTCGGCAACTGATTCAACTTTACGGAATCTGCCGACAATTGCCGAATACGCCATTCACCGTTATCCGAGAAAAATACATCAAAAGGGAGGCTACCTATTATGGATTCCAAGCACTGTCCAGATGTTTCAACGTACGCGACTTGTAACACATGGGACCTCTGTTATTATTATTATCGTCCAATACCAATAACTCATTACAACATAGTATCATATAATGATATAAATAATTGTATATCGTTGTTTTGTTAATTATATATTCATGTATGACATTAAAAATGTTATGTTCGACTTCCTGAGTCTTTATTCAGCGTTTGGAATTTAAAATTCTACGACCACTTTTTTAATACATATAGTGCGCCTTTGACTAACAAAAAGCCCCCAAAAATACAACAATACATGCACAACCAATTTATTTTATTAACTGAAATTGAGTATTGAATACAACTTTGTTAATATTTTAACAAAAGGGACTAATTATCATTCAAGGAAAGAATTTGACGTTCACAACATTAAAATAACATAAAAAATTATTCCACATTTTTGGAAACAAGGCACAAGGTTGGTGTCAGACACTTGGTTTAGTGACCACCGTGTGTTTTGTTATAGTTGATCCTGGAAGGGTGGTCGTCAGCAGGCCTGTTGATCGGTGTCCATACCGGCTCTCCCACAAAATATCTTTTAGCTTTCACATAATTCTACAATAGAACATAATGCATCTTAATGAGGAAGAGTCAAAACGAGTGATGTCCTGCGAAAATGTCTCTCGGAAAGTCATTCTGTTTATATCATGTGGGTACAAAGTTGAAATATCATTACTTTTAATGTTTTTATGGAGTTTTTTTATCCGCACAAAAATTTGGATTTCCTAAGAAAGCTGATTATTACTGGCATATAATTGTACAAAAGAACATAATTCATCTTAAATAGATGAGACATAGTAGAGTAGACATGATATTAGCATTTTGATTTGAAAGAGCTCAACTCTTGACATCCAGTTTTTCACAATTAAATAATATTCAAGAAAATGTATACCAATCAAACCACGGTATGCATAAAAGTTACAAATTTGATGCTACTGGCAATAAACAGTGGCTTTACGTTAACCTGCAGGGGCTAATGAACGGAGTTAGCTAAGTGAGAGGGGGCATTCCTAAAAGAAACCGACCTTGTCATCAAGAGTAAATCTGTGGTAAATACCAGCCGGTAGAGTTACCATATCATCTTTGAACACTGCAATACGAATCCATTTATTGTTGATATCCCTCACGTCAAAATACCCACTACCGTCCAGTATATACCGTATTTCATCATCAGAATGGAGATGTTCCGTGAAAAAGTGTTTCAACTGAAATAAAAATAATGAAGCCTTTATTGGTGAGCAGTTAGAAGACCAACAGATTGATGGACCAACAGAGAGGACCAATACATTTGACTGACAAGGAGAGGGGCCAACCTATAGGACTGTCAGATGGAAGGACCAACAGTTGGGACTGACAAGGATGCGGAAAAACCTATAGGACTGTCAGATGGACGGACTGGCAGATAGGAGAGTGAGATGGAAGGACTGACAGAGAAGAAGGACCAGCAGAAAAGAGTGTCAGATGGAAGGGCTGACAGAGTGAAGGACCAGCAGGTAGGACTGGCAGAGAAAAAGATTAACAGATAGGACCGCCAAGGAGAAGGACCAACCTATAGGACTAACAAGGAGAAGGGTCAACAGAACAGATGAAAATGATCGGAATGTTATGCTAAAAATATTTATATATTGGTGTGGTGCCTACCTTTTCATGGTAATTAGGAAGACCTTGTTCTGTGATATTAATGACATCTTCATAAGAATATCCCCGATCTTTCTTTAATTTGTTCAGAACTTCATTGTCTTCATGATTTTCAGCAGGAATCTGGGGAAAAAAAGAAACTTTATATGCAACTTTTCGTTCAATTCCAATAACGTTCAGCACTACACACAGAGCAGTTTGAAAAAAACATGTCACTTTTAAATCCCAAGCTTGTATCTATACGTACGTGTGTATGGATGTGCCATACTATTCTCCATATACATTGCTATCAAAGTAGCTACATAGTGATGTATGATGTTACAATGTGTCTCAATAGAATATCTCGCCTCTATCGATATATTTGGGAGTCGCGGTGGCTCAGTGAGTTAGACGCTTGCTCGCTAACCTGAAGGTCCAGGGTTCAATCCCGGCATAGGTCGAGATCTTTTCTATCGATATATTTAAGCCATAATCACGTATACGTACTTTTGACCAAGCCAAGCATTGTATATCGGTACTGAACAGAATATATAGGTCACGGGACCTGGCATGTATAGTTTTATTAATTAGACACGATGTATGGTGTTCTATTTTAACATGGGCTCAATACAGACAACATAAGCATATGGTCATCGGGCTCGTAGCAAGAAGGGTGGGACAGAGGGGCCCCTTTGCAAAAATTCCATCACACGTGCAGAAACTCATGGACAAAGTTAAAACATAAACAATAAAATGCTAAATGAGTTAACGTACCTTCCAATATTCGACGCCAGTGAGTTTGAACAACTCCTTCAAATCCACGTATTTTGGAGGATCTGTTTTGTGTTCAGATCGCTGATCCTCTTCGTTGTCGTCCATGTACCAAGCAGACACCATTTCTATACTTTATCCGTTTTAAAAGTACAACGAAACGAGTTGAAAGTAATGCTCTGTTATAATGATATGTGAACGTTATCAACAATGGCGACCTTGACACTGTTTTCATGTGCTCCAGGTCAAATCAATATGGTGACCCACTTTGGCCATAAACTCGTCTTTGTTAATGTTCGGTTTAGATGAATGACCACGGTTGAAAAGAAGGTATTAAAAAGTGACTGCTCTTCCAGTTTAAAGGACAAATGTTCCAATAACGTCCCGGTTTATAAAACAGACTTAACACTGGATGGGTATGGTGGTCCAAGCTGGCCATAATTCTCATTGTCCATTCTCTTATATTTGATGGTGACGGCCTACTCTATGTTTGTCTCATTGTTAATTAGTATGTGATTAGTTCAAGGGGCATTCCACCCCTTTTTTTATGATATGTAATCGTAATTGTTATATTCTTAGTAAGAGGGTTTTTCTGTGGCGTATTTTAAAGGAACTACAATGTCCATCTCTTGTGATAAGATCACGCGAACACATCGATTGCACAAAGACAAATTGTTTCGCAATAATTAAATGATAAGACATTTGATTTTGGAGGTGTGAACATTCCATTTATCAATTCAGGTTAAAGATACTAGAATATTGAAGGATTACGACGGGGAAATGTGGTTGTGGGTAGGCAGATTTCGTCTGTGACTAATCAAGAATAAGCTAATATACAAAAAAAATACAAAACCATCATATACAAGAATTCATTAATAATCTTTCAACTATCCAAAGTTACAAAAAATATACAAAAGTTGAATAACATTTAAAAAATTGATTCGCAAACTTTACACATATGTATAAAACTCTACACTATAGTACACAATACAGAATTGAAACTATCAATATATCTATCATAACACCTATCATATACAAATATCCAAAACCTTTGCATACCTTCCGTACAAAAACCACAAAATATACAAAACCTAACCATCCATTTAAGTCTACAGTTCAGTTGTACCCACCGACATGGTGCAGACAGACTTTGATTGTTTGGAGGAGCATGTAATAAATCCGGACAGGCATTGTTTATGTTGTTCCGTTGCAGAAATAGAATTTGGTCGGTTGTCAGATTTTTCACGGGAGGGGGTGAGGGTATGGTATAGAGGTTTTTGAGGTTGGAAGCCCTTGATACTCGTCCTTTAACTGATTTCGACAATTATCATGGTCACGTGGATACGGTTACAGTGATAAAATTACAGGGATTTTGGCTGACGAAAAATCATGTAAATGTACCAATATCTCTGATAACGAACTTAAATATACTAATATATATCAAAATAATAATAACCACCCTCATATCGTTTAGAAACGTTCGATTCATTATTTTGGACTGCTGAATCACCACTCAAAAACGTGAGTATAATAGGTACTTCAAATTTCCTCGATGCCTTTTCTTAGTGTGTCATGCAACAATTAATTTCTTAAGGGCGTATTTATTTAGTTATTCACTTATTTCGTCATTTATTCATAATTGAAAACCATCTAAAAATACCACGAATTAAACCCAAAAGTTCAGAGGAGATTGGCGTTCCTTTTCACTCCATTACCCCTATCTGTTGTCACCCTCCAAACCATGGGAAAAGATGGGCGTAAACCTCAATTAATTTTCCATCATTACAGATCAACATGATGCAAACAGTTCATTACACGCCTTTATCCCCGAGAGCAATGGCCATGGCACCATTAATATGGCTGGGCAAAATCATCTTTATCGTGGGCTTCGTAACCAATACATGGTACTCCTACTCCAGTACAAGTGACCACGGCCATATGGGCCTGTGGGTGTCATGTAACGTCCTCTTCAACTGTATATATTTCGATCCTATTAACAGTAAGTACGAATCATAAGTCAGAGTTCAATTTTGAAAAGTGTTACGGATAAATGTGACAGGGTTGTTAAACCAATCTGTTTTATGACCATGAGGTTCCGGATTTGATCTTGATATAGGACAAGATAGCGCAGCAATCGAAGAAAAGTGTTGGCTCATGCAGCACACAGGCTTGGCGTTATCCGTCTTCAAAGGCCAAAATAGAAGAGACAAGGGTGTAAAACTCCATTCCTTTTCAGGTTGGTATATAGCAGTTCGTGCCTTGGAATGTATTGCTCTGATATTTTTGTCTGTTGGTTCTTTCCAAAGTCTGATATACCTCAGACGTAGATTCAAAGAAAGGCTGATCTTTGGTGCCATTGCCATATTGATTGGAGGTAAGTCAAGATTATCCGATTTTGATGGATGTCGTTCAGCTGAAACCAGAAAAATTGTCATTGATGCTTGATAACATGAATTTCCCAAATTCCATTAGCCTTTTCGAAAACCATATCGCATGTAACTAAACACTTCCTGTTTATTTTTCGTGTCGTCTTTTTTCAGGTGTGGTGGGAATAATAGGTTGTATTGTGTTCGCAGCCGAAGTCATGAAAAATGCAGACTTGTTAACAATTACTGTATCGCTAGGCTACTCCTTCTACTTGACGGTATTTGGATGTGTGCTTGCTCTTGCTGGTGCACCTTTACTGTTTTTGGAATACAGAAGCTCTTTTCAATAACATGTTGAAACCTTTAGACGCACCAGCTTACTGTTACCAATGGATCTCACTCAAGAAAACTGCGCAATATGATATAATTTAAAATGGCTGAGTATAAATCACCATCTTGGAAATTCAGAAGCTTTTTTATTTGTTAATAAATTCATGAATCACGTCTTTTTATTTATTTTTTTCATCGAGCCCAAATAGGTCTAATGAACAGAGCAGAATGTATTGGACTTCAAAACCTGATCGTTGTCACTCAAGGCACTAATGATTTTCTAACACCAACATAGTTGACAATTCTGAAGCTGTGATTGGCTGGCTATAAACAACATCCAATCATACACTCTAGATTTCGAACGCGTTCTAATCCGGATTGGAAGTACTTTCAATCAAACATATCCTGACATAAGCTCATCTTTTGTGAGTAAATGTCGCCTATCAAAACAATTACAAGATTTAAACAGTGGTCAAATTCGATCACCTCACTGAAGTCGTTTGAACTCGAAACATTCAGACGCAAAACATCTACTGTTGAAGAACTGAAAAATTTATCTTGGTAAGTTACTGTAAATTCACCCATCTTAGCAGAATTATTCCACAAATAGGCACTATTACGATTCTAATTTTCTTAGCATAGACCGGTCTACAGTCGTCTAGATAGGGTGGTCCTATGAGCAAGTTATAGTTGCGGTTCCTTTACAGTTGACAGTATCAACAAACATGCGGTCGTAGCCCATTTCTTTTCATTGCACAAAACAATGAACTGCCTTCCTTCATTGGTCTCCGATTCACAACAACGATACCAAATTATTAAGCACGAGTTACTTCCCTTGAAAAGTGAAATTTGTTGATCAATGGCAATTTCAAGAATATCGACTTCCATAACCCAACTTCTTGAGATGGTTGATCCTCGAACATCGGAACTAAATCGAACAAGTTATTAGTCGAGCAAAAGTATTTGATTTCATCCGGGTCTGCTTCAAAAGATACACCTACACGATCAATCCATTTTTATGTTCTTCTGTTTGCAGTAAAATGAAGCTTAAAGTAGACACAGTCAAAATCCAACTGAGTACCAGCGAAAGGAGAGAGATCCTGATTTTTCCTTCAGTTGTATCTCGAACACTGGACCGGGTTCGTCATATCTGGATTGAATGCTACGTCCTTCTGGTGGCACTGATTGGCCAATGTGTTGCCATTGCCACACCGTATTGGGCTGTAAGGCCTATTGGCCACTCTGGTCTTTGGGAGAATTGTGTCTATGAGAAATGTGTTGATGTTTTTGAATATGGCGATCCTGCACGTAAGTTTTCACACATTCTTCCATTACAGCTTTTTTCTTCTTTAATCTACAAGCTGTATAAAGGTTGTAAGTGACAGTCTAGAGTGTCAAACCTGGAGAAGTTGGATAAATCGGCAATTTAAAGCTAGCCATCATGGCAGCAATTATGCAGCAGAAAATTAACATTCAGCCTATCAATTTTCGAACTATGATGTACATGTACAATGGTTCCAATTTATTATATTTCAGACTGGTTACGATGTGTACAGATTGTGATATGTATAGCTTTACCATTGACAGTACTGTCAGGCATCTTTATGGTTCTCGCTTCCCTTAAAACCAACACCAACTGTGCCACTCCCGCCGGCTTCTCCTGTCTTACTGCTGGTGAGTTTACTTTATTGCTCACAAAACAATTATATTTGGTATACTGAGACACTTTTCTATCGTCCTTGACAAAAGTTGTTGACGGTTTCCATTGCTTGATAACTTACTTATTTGTACAAGATTCCTCTTGGAGCATATTTTTTTGATAAATTATACTTCTTTGGTGTGTGGAATGAATGTACCATTAGCGACAGCTTTTTTTCCCTTCTGTATCCTATTTTTTTTATGACTTGGGGTTTTAATGTTTGGGTATTTTTGCTGTAGCTTTTCATGCCTTGATTTTAATTTTATTCTTCAGGTTTTATGATTTTACTTGGCGCTGGTTTTTACGGTTATCAACAAAACGAACTGTCCACGATTGGTTGGAGTCTCATAGTCAGTGTACTAAGCGGTTGTCTCTGTGTGTTTTCAAGTACTCGGATGTGTTTAGGATGCCTGCACAAAGACACTGATAATTTTGCTAGAAACGTTTATCTGGAAGCTCCTGTGAATTTATGAAGACCTTTATGGTTGGGTGTCCTTCGGGTCAAATGGTTACTTTCATTTGTGATAATTGGGAGAGACGTGTTTCATCGGGGTTGCATTGGCATCAAGTAATGCCAACAAGCGAGAAGTGCTGTCAATTCCTGGGAGGTATCCTGTGTTATTTCGTGTACATGAACTTGTTATTAGAGTTTGATTGAACTAATTCCAATAAAGACAAAATGACGATTTTCCCATGTGAGTCAACATGTTGGTATGTGCTTTTTTCCACCATAGCTGACACATTTTCCATTTTTATGTTTTTAACTTGTATATTTTTACGTAAATAAAATGTATTTCTAAATAACTTTGTCGAAGGGGAATATACCAATAGAACTCTACAGCATGGAGATATTCGTCGGCTACCCCCTAGTTGCAATAAGGTTCTACTAAATCATTATGGGAAAATCTCACCACAATAAGGTGCATTAATGTACAGTATAACAACTCTGTTACACTTGGTTGGTTACCGCCAACAATACATGTATACTTCACATGCAATGAAATCAATGGTCGAAGTCACGCCCAAGTGTCAATACTAACATCGCCCGGCAACCTGAAGTTGTTTGTTTTGATTTGAGTTTATTCACCGTATCGTTATATTACTATAGACTTTGTTGTAATAACTGTAATCCTTCCGTTATATCAGTCGGCACTCTCTTTGATGTCGGATTAGGATGATCGGTGATTAGGATTAAGATGAGGATAAAAATTTCAGCATTCATCTTGTTTGTCTTAAGCGTCTTTATTACGCTCCACGGTAAGTTGAAAATTTGATAAAGAACTTGATATTCTTATGGCATTCAGCTTTTTTCGGTCGGTGATCCTTCTCTGGACATTTAGTAGCTGGCTGGATTTTTGTTAAAGGGGCGGAACAGTACTTTCGAATCCTGACGACAAGACAAACTGACTTTCCTGGGTGTTTGTCTCTAAAACGTGACACTATTATTTAGGGCATCATATCCGCTCTTGCCTCTATAACTTCCTGGTGTGTTGGAATACATACATATAAGTAAAGCATGATACAGATCTATGTGGTTCAATTATTCATAAAGGTTTAATTAAATGGCAGAGATGATGAATCAAGACGAATTCGACATGCAATGGAAAGCAAGACCTATATAATAATCAATAAGCGAATAATTGTAAACGGCGTGACAAAGGAGGCGTTTTATTGAACAATATAGATGATAGTACGAGTGAGAGGGCCTCTCATAGGTCCGCGCTCCGTGTAATTACATGAGAGTTTCATATGGAACTGTAGAAATCATTATATAACAATATTGTTAAAGATGAACAAACTCAGTATTGTTTTCATTCTTAACTTAAATAATTTTTTTGCTTTATTTCCATAAACAGAAAGCAATGGTGAAGGACAAGAATTCAAATTATACCAAATAACAGTAGACGACGTACGTATATCTCTAACTTAAATCCAGTCGATGATGGTCCTGTTATATCAAAGTACGCCCATTGAATACTTCCTGGATATTTCTTTAGCAAAATATGGCTTTGCTTTGTGGTCATTTTGAAGTCATTTAGACAATTCCCTCCCTTAATCCTGCAGACCATACCATCCAAGTACACCGCCAAGCTGTTCCTTCTTACTAGCCCACTTCAAGATATAAAAACTTTTAATTTTTCAGTGGCATGACAATGACCATGTGACCAAATTACAAGACTTGATTATCACAGAAGCAAATTCGTATTGCTCTTCCTCACCGGTACAATGTAGTCTACCATATTGGAATGAAACATTCAGGTTCGTACATTCTCAAATTCCCATACGTTCCACTTTTCTGTTCCTGATTCAAGCCATAAAGACAGACTTGACAAACAATGATAGAAATATAACCTCATCGTATACCTTAGAGGGCTTCTCATAGATCCGCGCTAGAAATTAAATTCGTCTGTTCTTTGTGCCTCAACGTGTCCAGCATTGTTCCAGTTCCAGGTAAACCATAATTCGATGTTTTTCCCAGTTTTCAGAGATCTGATGTAGTAGTAACAGATGGTTATCCAAAGGAAGATGTTGATTTGGTCGTTAGATTCTATATCTTGAGCAACTTCTCCACCGAGGAACCGGAATCTATTCTCAGTTCGGAAGCCACTAAAGGTGGGTAATGAACTTAGTTCAGCAGTAGGTCCTGATAGAATCTTAATATGCAGCTCTCTATGAAGAACTGGTGGTTGTTATGTTATACTAGACCCTTTGAACAGTGTAACGTCTTTTAGCTGGGACCATATATTTTTGTGCCTTCTTTCCCGTAATAAAGTCAGCTGTGTTTAGTACAGAGTGATATTACTCCCGGATCCATAACACGAGAACTATCTCTAAAGGACCTGGAATTGAGTCCTATCCAGCCATGCAGTCAAAATGTGAACACTGTCTCCTGATGCCTTATTATCCTGGCCCCTTCCATGCTTTGTTAGTTCTTCATCTTTAGTATTCGGTTAACGTTTCATTGTAGAAATCTTCGTGAACATCAAGTCTTCATTGGAAGATGAATTGGGATCTTACGTGACCTATGTTGGAGATGAGTTCTATGGGATACCAATAGACGAGGCAGCTAACAGGATTATAATACCCATTGCAGTCGGTGTGCTGGTTATCATCGCTATTATAGCCATAGCATTGACAGTTTGGAGGTAAGCTTTCAGACAACCTAATGTCACGTGATGTCATTTGCGATTGGGCTTCTCTTCGGAATGATCACATACCTCAACTATGTATGGTATGAAATTTTTAAATTTGAAATTCCTGAGTAGCAAAGGTCCGTTTTGGCTTCGTTTATTCTATTTTTAGAAATAGAAATTTGTACCTCTTCTATCGGCTCAATTTCATGTAAAATGGTATCGTTTAATCAAATGTATTTCAGTAAGAATCAGGAGAAAGAACGTAATAAATTGTTCTCGAAGAAAAGTATGCGGATGTCTAAAACCACAAATAACCGTTCCAGAAATAAACCAGAACAACACCCAGACACGTAAGTTTATAGAGAACCCTTGTTTATAAGGTTTTTATGTGACCCTCAAAAGATTCTTTTTTGAAAAGAGAAAAGTTACTCGCCAGAAGGGTGAGGCGGTTTCCATGAGTTGTTGTTAAGATCATTATGGGCCTAAGAAACTACAACACAGTGTTGTGTCATGCTTTGAACACCTCTGTTGCGAGGTGTGTCAACTTGGTATCCTTTTCAGGAAATCCACATAGCATGTATGTTAAGTATCGTTATTAAACAACACTATAACAGAACATGTGCAAATACCAACTATATGAAAATATGCATTAAAATCTAGATCTATGTCAAGGCCAATATAATCAGTTAATGCACTCTGTGATATTCGACATCTGGATATTTGTGTATATATGTCAATTCTATATTTTAGAGAAAACAATCTGATGAAGGATAACACAGACCACCAAGAGAATAAGCATCTTGAACACAAACACATCTCGCCTTTAGCCAATAATCAAAGTCACCCTTCCGCGACTGAAGCTTCCTACCTAAATGAGGTCAAACATAGGCATAACGAACTGCCGCCGTTAAACTCAGCTGAGAGTGGGCAAGGTCTGCTGAACTCGGATGAGTTAGGTCAAACCAATTTTGAAGAGTCGGACACCAGTCAGATGAAGAAGCACCACAAGAAGAAGAAATCCAAAAAGAAAAAGAAGAAGGCGGAAGAGAAATTGAGCCAAGAGAATTCAGCATTAGAAGAATCCGAATCGGAAATCTTCACCCAGTCTCACATGATTACAAACGTCCAACCAAATAATATGACAGCAGATGAAACAATCGTGTAAATTGCTGTCAACTCGTGTAAATTGCTGTCAAATCGAGGGGCCCAATCCGTCAGATGGCAATGACAATTCGCCTAGTAAATTTTTGCTGATATTCATCTCGCTAACGCAATGTTGACTACTTCCATTGTCATTTTACATGTTCATAATCCATAGAAATATTTAATTGTAGACATATCTGACGCCAAGTTTTATTTTTTAATGAGTTACGCTATAAGTGTCTCATTGAATTCATTGAGCTTTTTAAACACAAATAAATATAGCTTGAATTGGTCCTTCTTACTCGATAAACATTTGGGTAATTATCCGGTTTTTTCAAAGTGTTCTGTTATACATGTCTCTAACAGGAATTTCACCGATATACTCTGTACTTGGGTTCGTGTCTGATATTCGTATTAAAAATATCAGTATTGTCCTCGCAAACACAATACTGTTTTAACGAAATTAAATTTTACGAATGCAACATCAATAGCGTAAACTAGTTATTTGTAGTCTGATTATGGCATTCCAAATCAAGAGTTATGTACCTTACTTATATCATAACATACACAATAATGTTGGGTAATATACCCCATTCCCTCGTCAAAACATTTTGGCCCTTTCGGCATTTATTACAGGCGTAGGGTATGGGTGTCCTCGGTGGGTAGGGGTATATAGAAGGTGAATTGAAGTATTGAAGGATATGAAGGCGAAATGATTGAATACAGGCTATAACTGTGACGTAACACATTACCAATGTACGATAATAAAATTAGTTACATCACTCTTAACTTTAGAGACCGAGTTTTTGAACATATGGATTTTGAAGAATATCAAACCGTTCAAATCATCGCGCAACAGTTTACATCCGACTCTATAAACATGTATATATATGTAAATGCAATAATAACGTGTGCAGAATCATTATTAAACCTCACCTTTTACCTGTCATTTCTACATCCACCTTCTACCGCGGGAAAAAGGGGGCTGTATATTTTTTTAACTTTTTTGTGAAGAGTTCCACAGTCAGATAATACGGAAATCAATACGTGACATCAAATATAGCTATATCAAATTTAGATGGAATGTTGGCATAGAAATCCCTTTAGAAATTATTTTGAAATATTTTTCTCGTCACATTTGGTCATAATTAGCACATTGTTTTTTTTTAAATTTAAGATGCCACAAATATCCGCTCAGGCCCGTGGTCAGGCTTGATTGTTCGGAAGGGCAAGTTATATATTCGGATGGTGTATGGTGTTAAGTTGCAATAATGGAATTGGTCGGTCGTCTGATTTGTTATTTAATTCGCCCCTTGTAGTTATAGGGATGCATTCACTATTCCAACTGTTTCAATAAAATAATTTTGGGCTTTTATCAATCTTACATCGGGTCGCAACGAAAACTAGATTAACTAACTTGCAGAATAATATGTTAAGCAGAATATTTTCTTTCCTGACTTTATACATTCTGGAATATTAAATCATGTACTTATGTGTTTGTGTATTTTTATGGAGTTACAAAAAGGTTTATATCGGGGACAATTTTTATTAGACGAATTCTAATTTTTCTCCCTCTTTCGTTCTTATAAATCCACAAAGAGTCACTCAGGTTTAACTAATGCAAACTTCGGGCCCCCGGAATCGAGAGTAACATCAAGTGAGTAAGCTAAGCATCGGCATATTAATCTGCGACTTGATAATTAAGGCTAAAGACATCAACATTAATATAAATCAATTATTTAAAAACATAGTCTAGACTAGATTAATTAGACAAATTAATTGATATCTATCTAATTTTTCTCTGAAACGGACGATGAAATCTATATTTTATCAGTACCAGCCGGATAAGTATAGCCATGGTTTGAGGACGGACTGGGGCTCAATCTGTTAGATCTTCAGGATTGTTATCTCATTTGCCTGGTTATGTCGAGCAAGTAATGGCTGTCGTTCTTATCTGAGTTCAGGGTTTTTCTGGAGAATACAGTCTGCCAGAAGGGAACGACGATTTACCTTGGTTGAAAACCCCTGTTTTATTAAAGGATCCGTTTTATGAAGAGTCCTTGATCATCATTTCTAAACAAGAAGCTGCCCAGATTTACAGCTAGAATAATGAGGATCCAGATGGTCCTTGACCAAATCTTATGACAATGATGTTCACCGGATCATACTTACCACTTTACAGCTGCAATGGTATACTGGACTTCGTGTCTACCTGCTGGTCCTTGACCAAATCTCTTCGCAATGAACTTTATTAGATTACCATCTGTTATTATCCAACTGGATCGACTGGGTGAGGTTCGAAGACTTCATCAATCTGAAAAATTAAAAGATACACTTTCATTTTACCTGTCAGACTTAACCACCGAATCGTTATTTTAACAAATATTCTCATGAAAAGTATACAATTTGATTAACATGAAATGCCGCTAAATCCTTAAAGAAATCGGGGAGAGAGACACGGAAGATAGGAAGGTGGGAACCTAAAGGGCAAAGGGATAGTGCGGGGACAGGGCCTTGGTATATTTTCAGAGAGGAAAGTAGATCCCAGTGTAGTAGAAAAGAAGAGAATGGGCCAGAAGAGACAGATGAGGGGTGGTATCCAGTAGGTACCGGATTGAAGTGAAGAGACAGTAAAGAAGAGAGAGAGAAAGGAATTGGAAAAGAAAGGTGGTCGAAAGAGGGAGCATAGTGGATGAAGCAGGAACAGAGAAGTTGCCATGGGGTATTCTCTTTAATTGAGAGGTACCTCCGTGCAATGCTTCGAATTACAGTACTACGAAGACTTATAATGGGTCGCCATCAATGCAATATTGTCGTACACTTTTGCGAAAATAGGATTTAACAAATTTTCATAAGTAGTCTCGGTGGTCAAATGGTCAAGTGGTAAAATTTGCAATGAATTCCTTCCCTTGAAGTAAACGTATATATTACGCTACTTTTTAAATTAAATTTTTTATAAAATATCGATAGCAATTCAAGATGTTTCGGTCGTAGACTCCAGATCGATCCCACCAATGACGTCTAAAATAATAATATGATACATGTAATATTTAAATAATCATTTTGTAAGATAAGATACAATGGATCCGACTAAACAATCTATACTTCCTCTAGGTTTTTCGAGACCATCGAGCAAGCATTGACTAATTTAACTAGATATGGCAAAACTAATTGATTAAGAATATACAATTTGATTTGACTTTCGGATAGCCATGATATTTGATTTTGACTAAGGTTATATATTGGATCGCTAAAAGTGTTAATAAGAATTGTGATGCGATAACCCTTAAATAGAACCCTGTCCCTTTCATATCCTCTTTTCTTTAACCCCTTCTCAATATCACACTTGCTTGCAGCATGATACAAACGCAACAAGGCGACCATAAAACTTAATGATATATATACTATGGTAAAAATTCGCTAAAACTAAAAAGCATATAAAAGCGTGTTTGGGCTTATACTAATAATGTTCATTAATATAAATAGCTTCATTATCAGGCAATGAATTTCTTGTCGCGGCCTAACGTATTGCAGTGGAGTGCAACGAAGGTTTTTCTCCCCCTATACAATGGACTCGTCCTATATGTACATTTGTGAGAAACGGTGCATACGGTAAAAATTATGGCCCAACTTGGCCAATGTTGTATGCTTGTTATTTAACATTGGGCAATATTAGCAAAAGATGGCATTTTCAAAGGTAGGAGACTATTTTTTAAGTTTTTTAAAACATGTATTTGACGACAATAGAAATTTCAGTAGATGTAGATAAATTGTATATGAGAAATACGCTGTTTTTGCCATTGAAAAGCAAAGGCAAATCGTTTGATGGTTTGACCTATAATGGTGGACAAGCCACTACTCATATAGATATACCAATGCAATGTTATGCACGGCTTTTTTATTCACAATATTTTAACATGTAATGAATTGAATAATATGAACGCTATAACGTTATAACGGCATATATTAGACGTTTTTACCGTGTATTATCGTCAATAACGCACACTTGAATATGCCGTTATTTTTTTTATATATATATACGCCCGCTTGACCTAATATTATGTATGCAGAGAATTTAGAATAGGCCATGCACGACCGCTGTTTTTACTTATCTACTATATAGTACGTTGTAGTTAACTATGGGATTGGCCATTTTTTTTTAAAATTGAAGAATGTTGTATAGTGTTAGTATTTGTATTACTTTACATACTTATTTGACCTGTTTATTTGTTTTACTAACTTTTTTCCCATTAATTTTTAATTTTAAAACAATGTGTTTAAGGTCATTACAAATAGAATTGATCAATATTTTTGATATCAATTTTTTTTTTGAATATTGCATATAGGTCACTGGTTGCAAAATATTTCAGAGTAAATTATACTTATGACATTTATTTAAACTGGCATAAGAGTTATACATACATTGTTATTAAAAGGAGACCACGAAAACACTGGTTGAGGATTCAGACATATTCTAGGGCTAATTGATAATTATATTTGTTAACAACTAATTAACTAATTATTAAATATTAAGAATTATATATAAGTCATGGCACCCATTCTTTTGGAACATAAAATTTGAATAAAGATACCATTGAAATTGTTATAACTTCTTCGATATTAAAGGCAGATCACAAAAACACTGGTTCAAGAGTTTATTGACCATGGTCTATATATTTAGGGTTCTAATATGCATTCTTTTGGATTTGCTTTTTGGGTTGCATCTATAGTTGAATGTAAAGTGTATTGTAAATGCTTTGGTAGTACAAATAGATTATGCCAACACCAGGTGGGGCTAAAAACTTGAAGAAGGCCCTTTGACACCCTTCCCCCCTCCCCTCTGAGACCCTATGTTAGGTATAGGCCTAGATATAAGACTATTATTAGTTTGTAGTACATTTATTGTGTGTTACCTATCAGTATGATGTAATCATAGAAATTTAATTAAACTTTAATAATCATTACTGCCAAAATATGATAAAACTTACTCAATTTTACTTGTTAGTTTTAAATTTTTGGCAG